CCGTCGTGGTCGTCGTCGTCCTCGTCGTCGTCGTCGTCGTCGTCGTCGTCGTCGCCGTCGTCGTCGCCGCCGCCGCCGCCACCGCCACCGCCACCGCCGTCGCCGCCGTCGTCGTCGTCGCCGTCGACGTCGTCGTCGTCGTTGTCGTCGTCGTCGTTGCCGTCGCGGCCGTCGTCGTCCCCGTCGTCGTCGTCGTTGCCGTCGCGGCCGTCGTCGTCGCCGTCGTCGTCGTCGTTGTCGTCGTCGTCGTCGTCGTCGTCGTCGTCGCCGTCGTCGTCGTTGTCGTCGTCGTCGTCGTCGTCGTCGTCGTTGACCCCGAGGATCGTTTTTGGTGTTCTTTTCGCCTGCAGTGGCTTGTGGAACCCTCTGGGTCTCCGTGGACCTCCAGACCTCAAGAGGCCTCCGGGGACCACGCAGGGGCGCGTCGGGCGCCCCGCTCTGGCGGAGGGCCGTTGCGACCAGCGACGGACACGCCACGACGACGACGACGGTCCGCGGGACCGTCGGAGAACGACCCGCGACGAGAAACCCGCCCTGGGAACCAGGTCGAGCGCTCTGGGGTCCTGCGTTCTCAGACTTCCTCCCTCACCTCCTTCCTCCCTCCCTGCTCCCTCCCTCCCCCCTTCCTCTCGCCCTCCCCGCGTCCTCCCTCGCTCCCTCCCGCGTTCCCCCTTCTTCCTCCCAGACCCCGGGCGTGGTGTCTTTTTTTTCGCAGTGTGGACCCCCAGGCCCTCGGACCTGGCGATCCTGGCGTGGCAGTTTTACTGCACGCGGCCGGCGTTTTTTGTGCCCAGAGTCGGCCCGCGGGGCCTGCGCGGACTGCTCTATCGCCTGCGAAGTGGCCCGGAAGGCTGAAGTCGGGGGCTCCAGTCATGTCGACTACACGTAAGGGTGACCTTTCGCCAGAGTGACCTTTGGTGCGGGCACAGGTGGGCCCCCGGATGGCTGAACGCGAAGCGGCCGCAGCGGCCTGCGCGCACCGTTTTGGCCACCCCGAGTCCCCCGTCAAGCCGCGCACCAAAGGTCACCCGTACCCAGGAGAGGAGGAGGAGGAGGAGGAGGAGGAGGAGGAGGAGGAGGAGGAGGAGCAGGAGGAGGAGGAGGAGGAGGAGGAGGAGGTCACTCTTACGTGTAGCCGATCGTGTTTTCTCACGGTGCTGTACTGTCTTGCGGCGTCAGATCGCAGGGGGCCGCCTCGGCCCCTTCCACCCGGGACCTCTGCTTTCACTCCGAGGCGTCTTCTTCGTGGACGCTGGGAGGGCCTCCAAGGCACGGGCATAGCGCGATCAAGACCTTCGCGCTGCCAAGTTCGGCGGCGAGCGAGGGGGGGGAACGTGAGAAGGAGGAGGCCTTCTCAGAAGGCGGCGGGGCTTCTCAGGAGCCCTCCAGCCCTCCGAGAAGGCCAGAGGACTCTGTGCCTTCAGGGAAGGCTCAGAAGACTTATCAAAAGGCCGGGGGACTTCTGGGGCTTCTGAGAAGGCCCGCCCTTTCTCACTCCCCCCCCTCGCTCGCCGCCGACAAGTTGAGAAACGTCTGTCGCAAATCGCACAAGGCTTGCAAGACACCTTTCGCGGCGCGAGGGCACCTTGTCGGCGACGGATCGCGAGCCCCACCCCTGCGGGCCCTCGTTCGTCGCTGGGGCATCTGACACCCCCCGGTGGGTCACTCGGTTGGAGGCGTCCTTTTCAGGCCCTGAGCCCCGGCCGTTCTTTCACAAGTGTGGCCTGCGGGAGTGACCTTTGACTTTGTCCTTTCGAAGTGGCTTTCAAAGGCAAACGTGCTGTGCTCTTCATGCTCTGCTCTTCCAGTCAAGCCCCGAGCCCCGGCCGTTCTTTCAGGAGTGAGTCCACGCCTGGTCCCCCCCAGTCACGACCCGCGCAGGAAGGACGCGCGACTCTCCGAGGCTGCCCCGTGCATCCTTGCTCCTCGAATCGGAGGGCACCAACTATGCACCAACACCGATCCTGGCCCAGGATCACCCTGGGCCCAGGATCGGTGTATATGCCTTCTTGCGCACGGCAGGAGGGCGTATACACCGATCCTGGGCCCAGGGTGATCCTGGGCCAGGATCGGTGTTGGTGTATAGTTGGTGCCTTCCTATCGAAGCCCACCCCTGGGCAGCTCTCGCTGGCCGGCCTCGCTCGCTCTCCGGGGCCACCCTGCGGCTCCGGCTTCTTTGAGCCAGCAGCCCCCCGCTCGGCTCCGGGGAGCTGTCCGGGAACGGGCGAACGGCTCCGAAATGCTTCGTTAGTTCAGAGTTCCGAGGTCGAACTCGGGCTCTCGCGTTGAGGTGCGCGAGGCGGGGGGGGGGAAGGAACAACAACAACAGCAACGGACAGCGGTCACGCGGCCCTCCAAGGCCCCCTTGGCATCCTTGCCGCGCATCCCCGTGATACGGGCTTGACTGTACCTTCCGCGGGCGGCCCGTGTGCCCGCAGATGCGCGACTTTCCGAGACTGCCCCGTGCATCCCTGGTCCTTGAGCCCCTCCTTGGCACCTCTCGCTGGCCAGCCTCGCTCGAACAGCGGCCACGCGGCCCTGCAAAGGCCCCCCTTGGCATCCTTGCCGCGCATCCCCGTGCTACGGGCCTGACTGCACCTCTTCCGCGGGCGGCCCGTGCGCCCCCGCACCGCGTGTGCTGGCACCTCCCTGGGCGCCGTCGCTCTTCGGCCCAGGAGGAGGGCACGATTAAGTCGGACCTGTCCCTCTACAGGAGGAAAATTCAAAAATAGTTACAACTAGTTCAGGGACGATTTTTGGGTATTTTTGGCTATTTTTTGGAGCACTTTTTCGGTCTTTCTATTTCTCGTCCAAAATCTGCCTGGAGAAGGACATGCCCGCCCAGGGACGATTTTTCAATTATATTTGTGCCATTTTTGATCTTTTTGGGACTATTTCTCATCCGCCTGTGGGAGGACACGCCCGACCCAAGGGCACGGCGCATCGTCTTTTTGCCCCCCGAGGCCAAGAAGCTCTGAACCGCGCCGCGTTGGAGCGAGACCCGCAGGGAGTCCAAAAACGGCTCGGTCGGGCCGAGGCATACAAGACCGAGGTGGGCTCGGGGAGGCTACCCCGATGCTCTTTGTGCTTGCTGGATGTCCTCTGGTGCGTCCCGGGGAAGGGGTGCCCTCGGATGTCCTGCGTGTGGTGGCCGGCGGAGGGTCTCAAGCTCTTGAAGGATGTCCCTGTGCTCTGATCCGATCGTGCGGTGCACGAGCGCCGGCCTCGTATACCGGGGGACCTCACTGCAAGGTCGACCGCCAGCCCTCTCCCCGGGCGCATGCTGGCCAGAGCCTCTCCGGGGAGAGGCCTGGTTCGCGGCAGCGAAGGGCGCGCTCCAGGGAGCATTCTCCCCCCCCCCCCCCCGAAGAGCGAGAGCGGCACTCCCGGACGCTTCGATCGCTTTGCCGCGAGTTTGGAGGCCCTTGCCTCCTTCCCCCTACCTGTGATGTTGTTGTTGAGCTCTCATTGCTGAAGAGTAGTTCTTGTTGATCCACCCCCTCCGGTAACAAATATGCTTTTTCAATGAAGTGCCCATCCCGGGGCTCGCACTTTGTTTTGTAGAAGGGACAATCTTATTGTTCAAGCTGTGCCCCTGGCCCCTAGTTTACAACAGCAACGGCTCCCGCCTGAGACTTCCTTGCAATTTATTAAAGAATCGTGCTCTCGCTAGGGATTTCCTTACAATTTATAGAAGAATCGCGCTCTCGCTTGATACTTCCTCGCAATCTATTCAGGCGTCGCGCTTTCGACACTCAGGAATCGCGCTGCCGCTTGGGAGTTCCTCGCAAGTGATTCAGGCGCCGCGCCCTCGACACTCAGGAATCACGCTTAAAGTTTGCATTGCCTAATGAGATTTATTTTGGAATCGCTTTGTTGCTGAAGGCTTTCTCGCGATTCAGCAACTCGCCTGCTCGACCTGGCCGCCTGGGCCCGCCTGTTAGGGTCTACCCGCCCGATCTGCCCGTCTGGTTCTGCTACGTGTTTTCTGCTCCTAGACCCCTCCTGCTACTCTCTCTCTCTCTCTCTCTTTTTTTTTTTTGTTTTTTTGTTTCTCTCTCTCTCTCTCTCTCTTTTTTCCCCACATCCAAAGTGGGGTTCTTGTTCCCCACATCCAAAGTGGGGTTCTTGTTTTCTCTGGACACCCCGCGCAGGAACAGGACAGGAGCACACACACACACCCACTCACACTCACTCACACTCTCTCATCATCAACCTCATCAGCATCATCGATGATGCTCTCTCACATGCTTAGTCACTCACATACTCATCATCATCATCATCACTCGCACTCTCTCACACGCTCACGAACATCATCATCATCATCATCGGCATCGGCATCATCCTCATTCAAACATCATCATCGCCACCACCACTCACAATCAATCATCATCCTCTTCACCACTCATCTTCACCACCACTCATCATCCTCATCCTCATCATCGTTGAGTAAATTGTGAGGAAGTCTCAGGCGGGAGCCCCCTCCCTATGGGGCCCGCAGATCATGTTGGTAATC